ACACACACACACACACACACACACACACACACACACACACAGGTGAACACACAAACACACGCTGAACTTGATGTTCTGTTTTCAGATGTGAGTCACATGATCCATATCATCGACACTGAGCACCCCTGGGATGTTTTCTCCATCAACTCTGGACACACTGAGGTCATTTCCTGTCTGGAGTGGGACCAATCAGGTGAGACTTCAGTTAAATGTTTTGGAGATGAGCTCAGCTGATTGATTGACTGTTATTGGTCTGGAATCTGATGGCTATAAGCTGTTCAGACTGTGCCAGCAGGAGAAGCTGCTGTTCTCCTGCTTTATGTACCGTAAGTACATGCTGCAGTGTCATGTTCTGCTGAGAGAGACAGGAAGTGACATGTGTGTCTGTGTGTTTGCGCGTGCTGCAGGCTCACGGCTGCTGTCTGCAGACGGTGACGGGCAGATCAAATGCTGGTCGATGTCAGATCACCTGGTAAATAGCTGGGAGAGCGTCCTATCAAGCTCGCTAGACGGAGACCCCATCATCGCTCTCAGCTGGCTGCACAATGGTGTCAAGCTGGCACTGCACGTGGAGATGGTAATAGCTGCCCACACATGTGCACAAACCTGCTGGCTTGTTGCAGTGATAGCTCTGTGTCTTAACACTCACTGAGACCAGTTGAGTAAGCCCTGCCTCCTCTTCTACTTTTGCTTCAGTCTGGCTCCACAAACTTCGGGGAGAAGTTCTCACGGGTGAAATTTTCACCGTCCTTAACGCTGTTTGGCGGTAAGCCGATGGAGGGCTGGCTGGCGGTAACGGTGAGTGGTTTGGTGACTGTGTCGCTGCTGAAGCCAGGCGGCGCTCTGCTGACAGCGAGCGAGAGCCTGTGCCGGCTGAGAGGGCGCGTGGCGTTGGCCGATATCGCCTTCACCGGAGGAGGGAACATTGTGGTGGCTGCCACAGATGGCAGCAGCTCCTCGCCTGTGCAGTTCTACAAGGTAAGGACGAAAGATGCTGCCGTTACCAAGGGGCTCTCACCTCTTATGCTAACCTGACATTTTACCTTTGTTTTTTTCAGGTGGTGGTCAGTGTGGTGAGTGAGAAATGTCGCATTGATACTGAGCTGCTGCCCTCACTTTTCCTGCGCTGTACCACCGACCCGCTGAGGAGGGAGAAGTACCCCGCTGTCACCCACCTCAAGTTCCTGACCCGGGAGAACTCTGAGCAAGTAAGACCAGTGTGACCAGTCAGATCAATAAGACAAGTGTGACCGTTAAACCCGAGACCACCGGGACCTTCAGAACTCAGAGGAAGTGTGTGCTTTACAGGTTCTGCTGTGTGCGTCCAATCAGAACGGCAGCATCGTGGAGTGCTGGTCTCTGAGGAAGGAGGGACTTCCTGTTAATAATATCTTCCAGCACTGTTCGCCTGTGGGTAAGAAAACCCAGCACCAGGCAGGAAGTGATGTAACAGCCAGCTAATCATTGGCATAGTGACAAGAGGCTTTAAGAATCAGACTGTGTGTGTGTGTTCATGACCACTGACCTTTTGTATTTAATGCCCTGACTTTCTTTATTTGACCTCTTCTGACAGTGGGAGAGAAGCAGCCGACCATCCTAAAATGGCGGATCCTGACGACCACCAGCGACCTGGAGCGTGTGTCGGCTGTTGCTCTGCCCAAGCTTCCCATCTCCATCTCCAACACTGAACTGAAGTTCTGCCCCGGACTCGGTGAGCCTCAGAGCTGGAAATGGCTGGTTGTTCTTCAGGGAGGTGTACACGCGTGCTGCCAAGCACCTTCATCAAGCTCAGAGTTTCTGTGGTCAGGGTGATCGTTCTCATGTTGATTTGAAAAAATGGCGGTAGAAGAAGAAATGTGTAGGAGGAAATCAGAGTACTAAACGGGCCAATCACAGTCATTGTGGGCATGGCATGTCTGTTACGGCATAGTGTTTGCGCACAGAACTGGTAGGAGGAGCCTCAGACAGCGACCTCATTGTAATGTCACTGTGTTTCGTTTACCTGGTGAACTTTATTTTGGGCCATTACCAAATCTTAAACTGCGATGCTTGTTCTGGACCGTCAGGTCTGACACCCTGCTGACCCCTGAAGTTAAAGGTTGATCTGGCTTCCTTTAAAGATGGTGGCAGGACTTTGTTGTAACCATCTCATCTCATTGTGGTTTCAGGTCTGGCTCTGGCGTTTCATGATGGCAGCATCCAGATCCTGCACCGCCTCTCCCTCCACACCATGGGCGTGTTCTACGGCGCCTCCTCGGCACAGCGCCCTGGAGATGAGTCGGCCATCAAGCGCCAGAGAACCGCCGGCCCCACCGTCCACTTCAAGGCCCTGCAGTTCTCCTGGACCTCATTGGCTCTGGCTGGAGTTGACAACCACGGCAAGGTGAGGACACACAGCTGGGTTCTGGTTCAGCCCAGATCAATAAAACGCCACATGTTAACAATCAGAGATCAGATCGATCGGTTTCTTATCAGTTGATTAATTTAGCAGAGAAACTGTTTCCTCTGGAATCCTGACATCTCCGTAACCTACATGACTTCTGTGTGAAGTAACTCAATCGGGTTGATGCGAAATGTGAAATAAGAAATTTGAAAGCAAAACAACCAAATAAGGTCTCCAGAGAGTGAGCCGAGGACGAGTCGATGGACATCTGGACAGTTGCCGCTTTGAATCATTCAGAAATCTAATTCTAATCTGTTTGTTTGTTTGTTCTCTCGTCAGCTCCACATGCTGCGTGTGTCGCCCTCTATGGGCCAGGTGCTGGAGATGAACACGACGCTGCGTCACCTACTGTTCCTGCTGGAGTACTGCATGGTGACGGGTTACGACTGGTGGGATGTGCTGCTGCATGTGCAGCCCAGCATGGTGCACAATCTGGTGGAGAAGCTGCATGAAGAGTACATGAGGCAGAATCAGGCGCTGCAGCAGGTCAGCCAAGCATGCTGGGAGAAAACCACAAGGCCGGGTCTTTAAGTGATGACATATTAACCCTGCTTCTGGGTCCAAACTGCTCTGTTTATTAAGGCTGTTGTGTTTTTAACATGTTTTGTTTCTATTTAATCTCAACAAGACCCTAAAAACAGTCAGTGATCACTGTCGGCCTCTCTCGGTTTTTATTACCACTATTCATTTTAAAGCTCAGGTTTTAAAACCTTACTATGTAACTACAGTCCAGCCCCTGCAGCAGTATGTAAATGACTAACCTCGTATTGTGGATGGATTATCTTAGTTGTTCTCCTGACTGAAGTTTGGTCCGTTTACAGCATCTTCTTTCTGCCATTCGATTGCATTTGTCCCTAATCATTGGGAAGCCGCGGGTTAACTTTTATCAAGTGGAGAAAAAAAAGTTAGCATTCATCCTCCAGCTTCACTCTGCTAATTTGTTTATATTACGCGAACTGTAGCTGTGTAGCTAGCCAGTAGCCACTATGTAGCACATCATTATATACCAACAAGCCCAACCTCAGTAACCCTACAAACGTCACTGCTGTTTAGTTTTCTGTCTTGTTCTTCATGTTCTGCTTCATGAATCAGGAAGATTCAGTGACTGAACAGGGCTGAAGCGGTTAGCACTCATCAGCTTCACAAAGGCAGAATCACAGTAGCAGGTTTTTATCAGACTACAGGAAGTAGTCCCTGTGGTTAGGACCAGGCAGCACATGTGTTTAAAAAAAAAAAAAAAAGTCTTACATTTGGTCTGGATGAGCAGTAAAACGTTTGTAGATGGAGGAACATGAAGAGGAGGCAATTTGCGCTCACTCTTTAGAAATCCAACCGTGGGTTTTCTTCCTCTGCACCTAGACAGGGTGCTGTAAGAATGCTTTCAGCATTATTAAATGTCCCAGTAATTATTTACCATTAATTTGAAAATGCAGGACAGGTGAGATGATGAAAGTCAGCAGAACGCAGGAAGGGGTGTTTCTGATGTTTCTGGCTCGAGCACTTCCCCTTTGCCATTCTCTGCTTCAGGTTCTGGCGACACGCATTGTGGCAGTGAAGGCTTCTCTCTGTAAACTCTCCACGGCGACAGCGGCTCGAGCGTGTGACTTCCATGCCAAGCTACTGCTTATCGCTATCAGCTCCACCCTCAAGTCTCTGCTGAGGCCTCATGTCCTCAACACGCCGGACAAGAGTCCTGGAGACCGACTGACAGAGATCTGCGCCAAAAACACAGACACAGGTGAGACCGCAGGTGGCGGCGGTGACCCATCATGTGTGGGTGGTGGCTGATGGCTCCATGTCTCCTCAGATATCGATAAGGTGATGATCAACCTGAAGACGGAGGAGTTTGTACTGGATGGTCCTCCTCTGCAGTCCCTGCAGCAGCTCATCCAGTGGGTGGGAGACTTCGTCCTGTACTTGCTCGCCAACCTGCCCAACCAGGTAAGTGAAGTCGGGTGGCGATGCACACACCTTATTCCATGTTAGGAGGAGTGACTCGGAACCATTCCAATGAAACAGAAGCTGTAAGCAGATGTAGATCAATCAGTTCGTCTCCAGGAAGCAGAACTCAGTAGAACTCATCATGTTTGGCTGATGACCTCTGATCCCGGGTTTATGTATGCTGCTCTCATAGGGCTCTATGGTCCGGCCCGGGTTTGGCTTCATGCGGGACGGGGCGTCTCTGGGGATGCTGAGGGAGATGCTGGTGATGATCCGGATCTGGGGTCTGCTGAAGCCCGGCTGTCTGCCCACCTTCACTGCCACGTCGGACAACCAGGACAGCATGCTGCTGCTGTTCAGGCTACTCACCAAGCTGTGGCTCTGCTGTAAGCAACACACCTCTGGTCAGGACTAGGCCACTTTATCTGACCTCAGGTCCTCTCACGTTCAGTCAAAGGTTATGAGCTTTAATCTGAGGTTTCGGGTTAGTCTTCCCTTAATCATGGTTGTTTAAAGTGAATCAGGTCAAAGGTGTGCAGGTGATCCCAGGTGTTGTTGAAGGAGCCGTGAGTGAAACAGGAAGTCCTCTACTGCAAACACCATGCAGTTCCATCAGCAGTTTTGAGGAGAAGGAAGCATCCAGCTAAGAGAGGAAAACATCTAATCATCCATGTGTAGTGTAGAGAGAACTGGATGAAAGCCTCCATCAGCCTCCGAGCAGATCAGACTAGAATGGCACGGGCCGTCACTCACCGCCACATGTAAATTGTTCTTAATTAATTTACTGTTTGTTTTTGTTGGGTTCTTTTCACATGGAAATAAACAGATCTGACCAATCGGATCAATGCATTTGGCAACAGGTGTTCTGTAGGTAAAACTGACAGTAAGATGGAAACTGTAAATAATCCTGAGCTCAGACTCACAGCTAGCTGCTGCTACAGGTCAGTTGTCACTCTGGAAGGATTCCTCAGATCGCTCCACTGATTCCTGAAATATGAAATCATCCCTGCTGCTCCTGAGACTTGGATGAACATCTGGACCATACAAGTGAGAGGAGGAGAGAAATAAAAATGCCTGCCTTGTGGGAAATTAAAAGAAAAAAGGGGGTCAACACTTCCAACCTGCTCCATAAAGCTGAAAGTAGCTTAGCCTATTTTATAAGTTTATAGATTTATGACTGCATTGATCCAGTATTATTAATAATAATGATAATAATAAAAATGGATTGCATTTATATAGCGCTTTTCGGGCCCTCAAAGCGCTGTACAATTCCACTATTCATTCACTGTCACATTCACACACTGGTGGAGGCAAGCTACAGTTATAGCCACAGCTGCCCTGGGGCAGACTGACAACAGTTTAAATTTATTAAACAGTTTAAATCTCATCCAGGATCAATTTCTGTGATTTCAAATCTGGAATCAACAAGATTTTTTGAACTTATCATCCCAGTTTGAGGCATGACCAGAACCACAGACGTGTGGCGTGTGCTCTTTGTCACCATCAACTTCACCTGAGCCCTGAAAACAATTGTCCTGCTGAGCTCAGCACGAGAGAAGCTTGAACTCAGGTCAAAGAGAGGCTGAAGCAGTTTTCAGCTGTCACCACTACTAAACAGTTTCCCATTTTCTGTCACTCAGCACGGGATGATGGCGCCCCCCAGGACCCTGACGACAGTCTGATCGACGAGTGCTGCCTGCTGCCGAGCCAGCTGCTGGTGCCCAGCATGGACTGGCTGCCCGTCAATGACGGTGTGATGGTGAAGCTCCAGGGCAAGCACCCACTCAGGCTGCAGTTTGGCAAGGCCTCGTCCCTGCCCAGCAACGCCCCGCCCACACCTCTGGAGGTGTTCAACAGGTAATGCACACCTCAGCCTGCAGCTTTCCATAACTGCCGTTTCACTTAGAACCTACGGTACTCGCGTCGGCTCGGTTTTTACGATTTTCCATTAGGTGGTAGTACCTGGTACTAGGTACTAATTTAGTACCCACTGGCCAGGATTCCAAGTGATCTCAGGTGTCAGCAGCCTGCATGCCACCAATTGGCTAGTCAGTGGCGTCACTCGATGAGTCATGAGAGCATCTCCTTCATGAAAATCAATACCGCCGTTTTTGAAACCCGGCAATGAGGAACACAGCTGCACAAAGAACAACGCCACAGATACACCATTGCCTCCACGTCTTCCTCTGTTTGTGTCACATGCGAATGATGTCACAGGACTTTCAGCCGAGTTCCTAGAACAACCCCACACACATTATTTGGTACTGGATTCTAATGGAAAACAAACAAAACCAGGTTGAGTCGAGAAGGTACCAGTGACTGTGCTGACGGTAACTTGTGTGTTTCTGTGTGTGCTCGCAGGACTCCTGGCTCCCAGAGGATGGATAACCTGCGTTGTGTTCACATGGGCGTCTGTCCTACCGAGGAGAGCAAAGCCTGCACCAGGTGAGTCCGTGGGAAGCGATGTCACATGTTCCACTTTCATAATGACATCACTAAGCTCCGCCTCTTTCAGGTGCGGCTGCGTGACAATGCTCCGTTCTCCCAACAAGACAAACGCCATGAAGCAATGGGAGCAGCGCTGGATTAAGAACTGTTTGTGTGGCGGTCTGTGGAGGAGGATCCCGCCCACGTTCACCTGAAGTGGTGACACTAAATCACCTGTTGGTGTGGAGCTTATTCACATCCCAAACCTATTGACCAATCAGGTTCCTGAAAATGGTCTTTAATATCCAGCTGAGAACCGGCTTCATGAGACCAGTTTCTGTGTGAGGCACAGGGACTGAATCCAGTTCCGATTGATCGTTGGAGCTGCACTTTGTACATAAACAGCATTTTTCTAATAAAGCCAACCAAACTGAACGAGGTGTTTCTGTTTTTGTGTCCGAACACCTGAGAGCGCTGGTTCATCCATGTCACATCACGCTGATGGAATGAACAAATGGGTCATCGGGTGTTTCCATGGGAACAGAAGTGATGCTGCAGGAAGTGTCAGGTGGGTTCATCGTGTACACAATGTCTTTAAGGGAGAAATTACTTTAAAGACACCTGTGATCACCGTTTCTCTCAGCTGATCATAACCACCTGTCAGGTGACGCACTGAGCACCTGCGTCTGCCCATCACTCTGCTTGGTAGAGGTGCATCAACCAGAGAGAAAGATTGTTTCAGTCGCTTTTTAAAAATTTTTTTTTATCCAGCTCATTTCCAGCTGCAGGTAAAAATAGGAGAATACAGTTTAAAGTCTCTCTCTCTCACTCAACTCTCTCTCACACACACACAGTGAAAGGTAATGCAAACATGTAGTCACCACTCTGAGGACTCAAAGTTCAGTTTTCACATCATGACAGCAGCTCTGAAACAGCACCCCCCCTGTGGTGGACCTGCTCGTCTGTTTAGGTTGAGCACAGACAACCGCCTTTTCCTGAGTACAAAACTACATATTTAGTAATGGTTTAATTCTGTGTGTGTGATCACATATAATGATGAAGAGAAGCCTGTCGGTAAAAATTCTTATCTCTCTTCCATCCACATGGATATTTGTAAAATGTTCTCTGTTCAGGTCACAGTGTCTGAATTCAGGATTTAATATTAAGAAACTGGAAATGATTCTGAATGAGCTAAAGAGCACCAGCCTTCAGAAGAACGTTCAGCCAGTAACACCTGCTGCAGGTGAGCTTCAGCCCTCCCAGTGTTCCCTGTCTGTGACTGTCTTGGGTTCCTCTGGGGAAAAGCATGTCTCCCCCCCCCTCCTGTCCCAGCAGGGGGCGCCACAGCCTGCATTCAGCTGCTTTTTCAGGCGATTAGAAAAAAAGGCAGAATCACGTGTTTTTGTCTCTGTGACGTTTCAGGTGCGTGAAGGGTTAAAAACAGCGCCAAAGTGTAACCCTTTAGGCTCCGATCACCTGACAGCAACACGCACGAGGAACGTTTCACAGCTCGCTCTGCCCCGCCCACCCTGACACACACACACACCGCAGCAGGTTCCTCCCGCACACAGACGTCTCTGCGCTGTTCTGCAGGAAACGGAACCCACCGGAACCGGACTGAGATCCAGCCGTAGCAAGGTTCCGGTTCTGCTGACGGGATCCAGAGCGGGTGGATGTTCAGAGGTGATACTGTGTGTGTGTGTGTGTGTGTGTTTTGCTGCAGAGGTGCAAAATCCGGACTGCTTTGTTCAGTTTCCGGTCCTGCTGCACCTCCACCTGTCTGTCTGTCCGCGCGGCTCCATCAGTGGGTGGAGGACCTCTGTATACTGATTGGTCAGCTGTTAAATGGCATTAATGTGACGTGTGTCAGGGTGATGATGATGAAGAGCTTCCTTTGTGCAGCTGATTGTCTTCAGACTGATTTTCAGTGGTGTTCTCTGAAATGACTGAACACAGGTGTGAGGGCGTCTGTGTTGTGAGGGGGAGGGTCCGAGCAGCCGGTGTCCAGCTGCTTCCTGTGGTCATGTGATCTTCTTCTAGTAAACTCAGGTGTGTCAGAGTTCTGGCACCACATGCTGAAGCATTAACCTTTCATTTTTTGAATGGATCCCTGAATGGGATTTTATCACTCCAACCTCTGAGGTGGAGGTGTAAGGGAGGCGCTAACCCCGCCCACACCATGCCACTAGGGGGCGACAGCAGTCAACTTCAGCTTCTTTTGAAGTTTGACTGCTGTGCTGTTGACTGCC